CACGGAAGAGGAGGGTTTAATATTGTTTTTACTTTATCACTATGATTGGTACGTTAGACGCTTCAGTGACGTATTGAGTGTTGAATCGCTTGGCTTCTGAACCAGGGGTCTTGGGATTGAGTCCTAATGATGACTGGGATTTTGAGCTTAAGAGGATTCCTATGACGCCCAATTCTACTAGATGCATTAATTTCCACTATCGGAAGATTTTCGATCTGACTCGATGTATTGCTATAAACAATATATTTGTAAGTAGCCCAATCAAAAGTTGGGAGCTAAAAATTTTATGTGTTACTTCAAGTTTGCTTATAGTTTGAATTCATGAAATAGTTCTTGTTATCTAATTAAAATACATTACTTTAATGTTCTTATTTTGGTGTTGCTTTCTTCGAAAAAATAAATACTTCATAAAATCACATTTTCAAATGTAGACCTATTAAACAAAAGAAACTGAAATTAATTTAATATTTTTTAAATATGAATTTATGTTCAGGTCTAACTTACTGAGACACTAAAGCCTTTGGAAGTTTTCTATATCTTACTAATCAAGAGCATCACGGCAAAGGGCTTTTTCTTTTTTTTATTCAAGTAAGACTAAATTGTATAGTAACAAAAAAACATTAATTAGTGAATCATATCTATTACGAAACCAATCAGACAATAGGCATGACACATAAAAGCACATTTCTTTTTTCATATTCTATGACGGGGATTCTCAATTGGTGTATCACGACCCCTTTTGGGGGGGGGGGGGGTCGCTTACGACCATCAGAAACTTTATTTGTTTTTGTTGGGGTGGAGGACGTTTTGTTTATATTGTGTGTAACGTGTAGAGGCAAGCATCTTATCTTATCTTATATAATACAGACGTTACTTCAAAAAAGAAGATGATTACGTCCTAAGCGTCATGCAAAGCATATTTGTACTATAGTCGCTATACATATATATATTTGTGGAGCCGTAGATTTGGAAAATTATTCAGATTACATTATTATTAAACACAATTATGAAACGCACGTCAAATATCAATAAAATAAAATGTGAGAATAACAAAGTTAGATCTAAGAGCACTGACCTATAGCCAGGGGACACGAAGGACACTTTAAGGGAATGTATCATCATTGAACGTAGACGTCATTTTTTTTTTGTAGTTACATTTTTGTCTTTTTTTATATAATTGTTATTCGAAACTATTTGTTGAGGACCACATCTTCGTTGTTGCAGAATTCTTTTTCAAGTACTGAAATTACTGTCCATCTATTGCGTCGTAACGCCATTGCGGGAGATGAAACATTTCTATGGAGAAGATCTGATCACGTCGTGAAGAAAATTTAACACTAGCTAAATCACATTTACCTGAGCCAATAAACGGAGAAAAAAAATTTTGGTTGAGGGGTCGCCGCCTAGTGGAAAGTTGTACTAGGGGGTCGCGGAGCTAAAAAGGTTGAGAGCCGCTGTTCTAAGACAATTCGCGTGTTTCTTCTAACCAAGTGCCATAAGAGCCTATATTATCCAGGGAAACCAATGACCTAGCAGAGTCACTATTTAACATTAAGGACTAGATTAACACACTGATACACGCACAACGTAATTTTGTTATTTTAAAGACGAGTCTGCAAACTTTTAAAAAAATTTACCTTAAAAAAAGTTATATTAGTGAAAGAACTCCACATTTACTACAAAATGTTTCAATACTGTAAAATTTATTTCCCTTTTCGCAATCAAAAATTTAACGTATTACCACTATTTAATTAAATGATTAATTATTTTTATTTTTTTGATTGATTCATGTTTTATTAAAAATAATTGTGCAAAGTTTTACTTTGATCGGAAAATGTGAAGTGGGAGAAATAACGTCTTAAAAATTTGTTTTATTGGACAGACAGACAGACAGACATTTACTTTGTAATGTAATAACATGTTCATGAGAATCTAGAAAATATGATGTAATTTTAAAAATGTTCATTTTTAACAAATCTTTAAAAAATAATAATTAATTATTGTCTTCTTTAACGCGTATATATTTGGCATTATTTTAAGCCCTGTAATGTTACCAGGGCCTACCTAATACACAGGTAAAGTAGGCAAACGCCTAGGACCTCCGATTGTTGGGGGCCTCGCTCATAACATGTAAACATTTTTCAGAGAAGAAATAGAGAAATGTGTATTCCTTGCTATTTTTGGAGTTAGCTTATATTTTTTTTAATTACACAATTTTATTTTTTTTCTCAGTATATTTCTTTATTTTTTTTCCTATTTTTTTTTCATTTGGGGGCCGACAAATTCACTTCCAATATTCTAAGGCCGGCCCTGATGTTACTATGATTCTGGAGAAGCATTCTAGACATCTCCTGCAAATACCGCTTCACAAAGGAGAAACTATTAAACACAATTATAAAGACGATTAAGGCTATGGATCATGTCATGGAAATGAGATGAATGCGTGGGCATTAGCTGTGGTCGGAACGATGTCGCCCACGCATCAGTTCCCCCTTTCCACGCACTAGGCGCTGCAAACTGCCTTAGGGTTGCCAGCTCCTGATTGTTCCTCAGGGTTGACTCCCGAAGCCTTTCCCATGATTGGGTATGGCTGCAAGGCAACAGAGGTTTGAATTCCGAGTTTTCCTTCTCCTAGGTGGGTAGCCAGCCATGGCTAACGAGCCCCTCCGTCCGAAGCTTACCGGTTAAGGCGCCAGTTACTCGCCTTTGCCCCTTCTCCTGTTAGTGAGAACAGTTCCACCTGACTCAATATCTGAGCCACACGTAAAGGCCAGGAGTTGGACATACTTTTTACATTCCAAAGTATCTTCTATGTGAAACTTTTAAAAAGAAAATCATTGAAATAAAATGTAAAAACAAAAATACATTTTAAAAATCCTTTAAAAAAATTATCTAAAGGGGAAAAGGGAAGAGCTCCGTCTTTAAAACTATATCTACCACTAATGTACAAGCTCTTTCCCTTATTCAATATCAAGCAAAATAATTAATTACCAATAATTAATTGACTAATTGAGTATTTTTAAGTATTGATTCATGTTTTGTTAGGTACAATAAATAATTGTTTTAAGTATCAGCTTGATCGGAGAATTCGTGAGGGAGAAATAACGTGCACACACTTTTTAAGAGACAGACAGACAGACGGACAGACAGACAGAGTGAGTTGACATAAGCTTTGTAACCAGAATATACGAAGCCGATGTTATTTTCCATACTGCGAGTTAGCTCACCTTTTTCATAATCAAAGGGTAGTCGAATATGAGTGGAATGAGGTTAGAAGAACAAGTAGCAAATAACAAACATTTATTTCAGCTAAAATTTCGTCACAGTAGTATAGCTCTTTAGCTAAGTTGATGAAGCGCAGCGCTAATAACGCGAATGGTGCCAGTTCGATCCCCTCTTTATTTTTCTATGACAAATAATTTAAAGAGGATACGTTTGTACTTGATTATTGGACCATAAATTAGGAATTGATTTAAACAAAAATTCGATGACGTGTCGTGTTCTGGTCCCAGGTAAATTGTATTATGTCTGAAAATTTCTCAAAGCACGTGAAATCTACACTGTCCGTGCGAATTATTATTATTATTATTATTATTATGTTAGAAATAAACGAGTAGTCATTCTCTGTCGCTGCCAGGGTCGAGTTTTGCTAAAGAGAAACAAAATTCAGTGTAGTCTCTTTAACAGTTTCCACTGAGAAATTTTCTGGCGATGTGGCAGGTCTGCAGCAGTACCGCCCTCTGACAGGCAACGAAGATGTTCCTAGGAATGTTAAGGGCCTTGAAGGTGTCTGTGAGGTCAGTTGTTATTATCCCCTCGGTTGATACAACAATGGGATATATTGTTATTTTGGACAATTTCCATAGACGCTTAATCTCCAAGCCTAGGTTCCCATATTTTCTTTGTTTTTCTATCTCAGTTTTTCTTAAATTATGAGACAGTGGTACGGCGATATCGATAATGGTAGCGTTTTTTTCTTTTTTTATCGATGTTATTATTATTATTATTGTTATTATGTTAGAAACGAGCGAGTATTCATTCTCATGCGCTGCCAGGGTGGAGTTTTATTAAAGGGAAACAATTCATCGTAGTCCCTTTATCAGTTTCCACTGAAGAATTTTCTGGTGTTACTATCATTATTATTATTAATAATATTATATAAAAGACTTTCAAACTCTCTTGCGCTGCTCAGATTAAGATTCATTAAATATAATATTAATTGTGGTCTCTCAAGAAGTTAATAGTGTCCTTTGAGAAATTATCTGATGATATGGCATGATACAGCCATCTGACAGCTTATAAGAATTTTTCAAGGAATGTTAAAAACTCTATAACACACATAGAGTCAGTTTTCACCAACCTTCGGCTGATAACGCAACTGAGAATGTTGTAATTTTGGTCAACTGCTACGAAGCTTAATTTCAAAGTTAAAATTTTCAAATTCTGATCTTTTGTTATTTTAAGCTTATAACTACTATTATTATTATTATTATTTTTTCTTTTATTTGATATTTTTCATCTTGATGCGTTTAAAGTAGAAATGTATTTATTAAAAGTTCTATTTTCTAACATTCAAGAATAAAAACAATAAGTGGTGCTCATTTCTTCATAACAAAGATATATATAAAAAAAAAACAGTCTTAGTTTCTCGATTCTCACACTGAATTCTCATCTTATAAAAATAATTATCACCCAGTAAAATATCCGCACAATCTATAAAGATAATAGTTATGGAGGATTACGATTACTGCACAAATATTGAAGAAAGGTTGGGTTGCTTTGACAAGCCTGACTAGCAAACACTCAGAACATTGATGGATCAACATCAGAACAGAAGTTCTGACAGGTCTAGGTCAACGGAGGGGACATTCCATGGACCTAGACATCCTAGAGTTTGGGATACAATACTCAGGATATTTATAAAGAAGAAGAAAAAGTTTCGACATAGAGTCTCGCTGATAGCAAGAATGACGTCAAAATTGACAAAACGATATTCAGACTTACCCAAATCTTGCTCGTACTGAAGTAGATGAAAGCTGAATTTATTCGTTAAATTCTAAAATGTTAAATTTCCGGTCAATTTGTCACAAGCAAAACTAACAAAAAATGAATCTATGCTAAAACTTGAAGTCAACTTTGAAACAAAAACTTGTTTGACAAAATGAATTCAAAGTTGTATTTTTTTCCTTTTCTAATAATTTTGTTCGTTGCCGCGAGAAGAGTTGCGAATTGACTAACTGTTACATAAGATGGTTCTCTAAATGTCTAAAGACTCCAATAAGTCCTGGTCCCACTGACGAACTGTTGAACTATGGGAGATGTCCTACACGTCTGTCCTCCCGACCAGCTCTCCCCTCATCTCATTTATAAAACATTTGGTCTAGAACCACGTACCTCCTTCGCCTTTTTCTAGAGCCACCTCCTTTTTCGCCTTTCTCTTTTTTTATATAATTTTTTTTTCTTACTTTTCGCCCCACTGAAAGTGACGTCACAAGTAATAAGCCCACAACTTGTTTTTCTCCCCCTCTCTCTTTTTTCGATTTATTTGCAAGTTTTTTTCTTTGTTTTGTTTCAAGTTTTTTTTTTTTAATAGCTTGAGTATTGGGTATTTCTAACGCTTGCTCTTACCGCAGACCCGAGTGTTTCGCATGCGTGGAGCTGTCGCCCTGGCAAAGTTTTTGGGATTGGCACCCACCCACAACCACCGACTTGCCCCCCCCCCCTCCCCCCCCGCCCTCTTTTCCCGCCTCAGCTCTCACCATTTCTCGCGCTTTATTAATTATCGCAAGGAAGTGCCGACGGCGACTAGCGCGCGCTCGCTCTCTCGCCTCCTGAACGCATCCTCTGGGATCGCAGAACGGCTTTGAGGCTCTCGTCTGCGACAGTCTAGCATTTAAAAAAAAATCTCTTTACCTATCATTCTGTTTTCATTTTGTCCTGATATCAGCTTTTCATTTTCATACACAAAATGTATTTAATAATTGGATACATCTTTTAAAAAGCCTCCCAACACATAATTCATTTAGCGATTGATGTTTGGAGTCAAATTAATTAGTGTTATTGTTTTAATATAATCTTCTATATTTATATAATTCTCTTCTTCCCTCAACAGTTCAAACGAGTAGAAGAAGCAAAGGAAAAATCACTCTCTTATTTCTGAGGATAGTCCACGAGAAAACAAGAGGGGGGGGGGGAGAACAAGTGGGTATTCACACGTCGATACGCATGGCTGCACGCTGGGCTGTCAAACCATGCCAGCTCCCATCCCTCTTAGTCCTGCTGGAGGTTTGGACTACGAAGTAAACTATCGTCAACTCTGAAGGAACATCCGAAACATGTAAAACATTTTAAAAGCAAACATTTTGCAAACGCTAAATAGCATCACCGGACTTAACCATTGTGACCAAGAAGTCATGGAAAGAGAACAAGAAATCTACTATGTATATTTACAGGTCACTAAATAGCAGGGCCGGACTTAACCATTGTGGGGCCTATGCGAAACGGATTTCGCGGCGCCAAGTTTGGGTAGGGAGGCGGATAATAAGTGAAATTAAAGAGTTTGTATTACAAAATAAATTCGTCTATGCATTTTATTCATTCTTTACTACGTACGGAATTACTTTACGAGACTTTCGTGTAGCAAAGTCATATAGTATGTCATAATAATTCTGTTTCCCACATAGATCACGCTCAATAGCAAGAATTACCAAATGTTTTTTTAATCTATCTTTGAGAATTGTTGACCTCAAGTAATTCTTCATTAGTTTGAGGCGCGAGAAGCTTCTTTCCACCAGATTACACAATTATGATTATGCATTATGCCGTCTTTTTATTCATCGCGCGTAGGATTGGCGTTTTCCATATTGAATGACACCCCAAAAATGAAAATTTTCGTCTATATATTTCCGTATTGTTAAAGGACTTTTTCGTACATTTTGCAATTTCGGGAGATTTCCAGGAGCTCCTGGCACATCGACAGGAGGGCGCGAGAAATCTGTTCTAAGTTACTAAATGCTATTGTCGTTAATTAGATTTGGGATATACTTTTGTTTTGTTATTATTTATTATATATCTGACGATGCAATGCTTGTGTGGGTTAGACAAACGTCTAAAAACATAAATGGGAAAAGAAAAGACACAAACAATCGATGCTTTTTATTTTTATTTACAAAAAAATAATTTAATTTTATTGTATCTTTAACCAAAAAAAAAAAAAAGAGAGAAAAAAGTGATGAATGTCATTCTGAGAGTTGTGCACACCTAATTTATACTTTATGGGGTTGAAGAAAGAATGTGGATATCGAGGTCTCAGGTAGGAATCTGATTTTTTTCAAGTTGATTTACTTTTCAAATGACTAAATCAGCTCATAACCTTAGAAACAAGGCTTTATTTTAATAGAACACGACTGGTACACACAAGAACACAGTACAGACTGGTCACGAGTCACAGACTACGATAATGCGAACACGATTACAAATACTAGCACGATTACAAGCACGGGTAACACAGAAATTCAGTTCAGGATTACTCCAATGTTCCATCACAACTGAAGAATATGACACCTTTGCCAAAACCTCTCATAGGCGAGCAGGGTTGAAACCCGGGACAATCAAGATGACATGCCCCGAGTACATATCACACGACTAAGCAACCATCTATGTTTCGCAATATGCTTTTATGACATTGTTACAACTATAAAACCTTAATGTTCCGAGGCAGGGGTGGGGTGGGGGGAGATTGTATACTATAGGTGTATATATTATACTATAGTATAATAAGGCTTGTCTTCGAGTCCGAAGATCAATGAGGAATGCAGCATTTCCCGTGGCTACGCAGTTCCAGCAGTGACCTACATATTTTGCCACATGTACGGCAGGCATAACAATTGTGCGACTAGTCATTTCTGGGCTAGTTATATAAAGTACTATGTCGCCTCCAGCATGCGCGAAGTATTGTTAAAGTTGGTACAGTCCATTTGGGTTTCTGCCACGTCGGAATGTTATTGTTAAGAAATGTGAGACAGTTCTTCAGGTCTCAAACAGAAAATAAAACACACCAGCTTATCGTTCAGTCACTTTGACTTAGATGGGCCATTGAGATTTTCGCCTCCACAATTCTTCTTTGTGCTTCCGCATACTTAAACCCGGCCCTGAAAGGACAAAGCCAAAAAAAAAAAAAAGTCAAATGGATAAGTATGAACTCAACAACTCTCAGACGAAATTTTTAAGCCAATGATAAATTTTAAATTTCCTTTAAATTGACCCAAAGATCGTGAAATATTGACATTTGATTACGGTTATAGCGCATACTTGAACAAAGCTGATCTTATCCAATAGACATGTTCTTTTATCTTACGGTTTCCAAAACACTCACGATTCTTAAAGACAACCTGCACCCATTAAACCACTGTTACATAAGATCTGAACGAAGTGGTCGTCTCATTTCCATTAAGACTAAAACAGAAAGATTTAAAAACTCTTTCATCCCACTTTCGGTCAGAGTGTTACAAGATCATCTGTCGTCATCGAGAAGTACATAGAAGTCTTACTCATAAAACGCTGGTTGTGAATGTGTATGTGTTTCGTATATGAATGTTGTTCGTATTTTTCATCTATATTGTTATTATACAGTAGTTACGCGGAGGTTGTCAATTGTAGTCAAACTGAATTTCCATTTGATTTGATCAACAAAATTATCTTATTATACCTAATGACGATTTATAGGCATACATACATATAAAAGCTAAATCATTCAATCACTTATCACTAATTTCCTTTTAGTTTCTTCAAAAATGTTTTTCTTTTTTTTTTTTTCATCCAATTATTCCAAACATTTAACTTGGAATACCTAAGCACATTTCACGTTCAATTATATTGCAAAAGAACTGCGGGTCTAATATTAGCGATGATTAATTATTTCATCTGGCACTGCCTTGACCGTAGCCATTTTAGTTTGCATAATTGATCCGTACTAGTTAAACATAAGAAAACAATTGAACTTGTGATCAGCTATGCAAGACTAGCCAGCTAATGAAATTGATCTGTCAAGAGATATGAAAGGATGTCCTTCAGGTAGAATGTTCAGCGTGTCTTGTTCACACAAAATTACTTATGTAAAGCTGTTGGCTTACTATGAACTGGTGTAAAGCTAATAAAGTCATAAATTATAGAAGCGTCAGCAGTCCTTATATTTGCTATGTGACGAAAGAGACTGCAATGCTACATGTTTTAGATATAGCTGTCTTTGCTATAGTTCAGTGGTTACCAAACTTTTTCTTAAAGAAACAGGTCGCACTTTAAGAGTATTAGCGGAACACTTTGATTTTTTAATTTAAAAAGAATCACGTATGACTGAAGGCATGACGCGTAGGACGTAGTCATCTTATTGTTTTGAAGTAAAGTCTGTATTATATAAGATAAGATAAGATTTGAGGGGTGGCCTACTAGTTAATTATTCAAGTAGTTCGTGAAACACCTGGCGGATCACTAGTGTTTCGCGGAATACCATGGTTCCGCGGAAGACAGTTTGGGAAACACTGTTACAGTGCATGTTTTATGGAAAAAGACATCACTGCACTAATGGATGTTAGATGGGCAAAGAATTGTCTACTTAGAAGTATATGTACTCTATCGATGTACATTATCAATGCTACACTACAAGATACAGTCTTTTGGTTGAGCTCTTAGGTATATTTTCTTTTCAATTTAAATAAATGAGCTTGAATAAGTGTCTTGAACATAGCGATTAATAAACATTGGAGAAACAATACTTCAAAGATTCATGGGAAGGGAAATTTCCAAAAAGTACGTAGCCTTAATGGCATAGAGCGTGCATTATGATTGTATTATGCACGCTATCAGGATTGTTGTCAAGATGATCCTAAGTTTGAATCCTGCCCGCCTCCACACATGAAGTCCTTTGGTATGTTTGGTCCAGGATTAAGTAATCTTTATTTCTGAAGAAACATCCCAAACAAACAAAACAAACGATAGACATCAGGCGGTAAAGAAAAAAAAAAAAACAGTTTCGCTTTCAGAGCTTGTGATCTAAGGGAAAGATGATGTAAAGGTTATTTGTTTCTGTGGCCCACGGTTAACTTAGGATGTCATTTGGTTATCTCAACGACCAACCGCCTTTAATTTTCCCCAACTAGTGGCAGGTACCCATTTACCACTCAGCCACCGCGCCTCCAAGGAAAAAAAAAACCCATAGAAATTTATAGATTGTCCAATGACATTTTCATTTTTATTCATTTTATTAGCTTTCTAAATTAATACTTAAAAACACTCGTGAAGAAGTCTGAGAATTCGATTTTTTATCCATAAGAAAATGAATGATCCTATAGATCACAATAATTAAGAATCTATATAGCTAATAATATGAGGCCGAAGTTGAGCACAGTCTTCTAACATCTGAACTCAGACATGGCTATGTAGTCCTGTCCTCCCTTTGAATAGCTGGCTGCAGAGAAGAGAAGGAGCGATACATTCTTTTTCAATTATTTAAATTTCGGTACATATCTAAAACTGGTATGGATACCATCTTAATATTTCTTACGATTGTTAGATCTATTTTTAAGTCAAAATCTTTTAGCAGTATGATCTGAATGTTATTTTTTTCATACTTTTATTGTCTGTTTACTCGAGTCAAACTCTACAAAGTCCTTGGGATAACA